GAAAAACGTCTTACAATAAATATTTAGCTGTTTCAAACTATTATTTATTTATTTATTTATTTGAACACATATATATTGGTACAAGAGAGCGCCAATATATATGCGCCACACAAAACAATGGGAATTCGAAGAGAAGTAGAAAGAAAAAAAACAACTAAGGAACGCAAAAGAAAAAGAGAGTAATGACGAAGAGGTACAATCAGAAGAAATCTTTCAGGTAAAGGAGACAACCACTTTTTATGAAGAAAGTAAAAGAAGGTTACAGCAGGATCGCCACTGGCTTCTATTCTGAGCCATATCTGATAACGTCTCTAGCCACTGTGTTGCACCATCTTTCGGACCCCAACCAGGGAGTCGTGAAGGACCAACACAAGCCAGTCCTTTGCAGCTTTCTTTCATGCCACGACACCATGTCATGCACTGACCACCTCTCCGCTTCTTCCAACCAGTCCCAGAGTCGGCAAATAATGCACGACGTGGAATTCTCTGGGGAGACATTCGGAGAACATGTCCTAGTCACCGAAGTCGATGTCTCAAGATAGTGATACCAACTAAATTATCATCTCTGTGCCCGAACACACGATGCCAAACCTCTGCATTACTGACATGGTGTTGCCACTGAATGTCACCAATCCTTCGGAGACAGCGATGATCGAACACAGAGAGTCGTCTAACGTCCTCAACTCGGAGAGGCCAGATTTCACAAGCATAGAGCAAAACTGCTCTCACCGACGCGTTGTAGATCCGACCTTTTACAGTCAGACTAACATCACGAAGGCGCCAAAGATGGCCCAGATTAGCATAAGCCGCTCTGGCTTTCACTATTCTTGCATTGATCTCAGCACTCACGCCACCACCAGCACTTATGCATCTACCCAGATACACGAACTTCTCAACTACGTCTATCTGCTCACCATCCAGGGTGAGTACAGGATTAGAATACTGCCAGTCTTGTAGAAGTACTTTGCACTTCGAAGGTGCAAAGCACATACCATACCTACGGACATTGATTGCCAACTGATTAAGTGCTGATTGTATGGCTTGCGCATTATCGCACAGTAAGACAATATCGTCCGCATACTCAAGGTCGAGAAGTCTTTCTCCAGGCAACAGATCCACACCACCATTACTTACATTCATCAGAGCTGTTTCCAGAATGTCATCGATGGCAAAGTTGAAGAGGAATGGTGAGATTGGGCAACCCTGTGTAACCCCACTGCTCGAATGGAACAATGGAGAGAGGTGGTTGTATGCCCTCACTCTGCCTGAGGTGTTTTTATACAGGGCTTTTAGGATGTTAATAAACTTCTCAGGCACACCCTTCTTCAATAGACAATCCCAGAGAACAGTCCTATCCAACGAATCGAAGGCAGCCCTGATGTCAAGAAACACTACGATTGTTGGCCTTTGAAAAGTATGGCGGTGTTCTAACATTTGGCGGAGGGTGAAGATATGATCAATACATCCTCGACCAGAACGAAACCCAGCCTGCTCCTCGCGAGTCAATCTTTCTCGGGTTTTGAACAACCTACGAAGAATGACGGAAGCCAATAGCTTGGACGCAATCGGAAGTAAACTTATCCCCCGATAGTTGTTACAAGAACGACGTGAACCCTTTTTAAAGATAGGGACAACTATCGACTCATTCCATGACGTTGGTACACTCTCTAGTTCCCAAACCTTTGTAAACAACGTCGTCAATTCCTTAGTCAAAAAGTCACCACCATCTTTAAAAAGAGCCGGAGGTAAGTCATCTGGGTCAGGTGATTTGTAACGCTTCAAGAGTTGGAGTTCCTTGCGGACTTCCTCCTCATTTGGTGGATCAGTCGTCACCGGCCATGGAGGGCAGGACAGTCTGACCGATGTTGCCGGAGCAGCAGGCCAGTTGAACTGCCCTTCGAAAAATTCTGCCCATCGTCCAAGACGTCGATGGATGTTAGTGATTGGCATCCCATCATCCTCGCAGATTGTTTCACTCACACCAGACTTCTTGCTGCCAGTGGCTCGGATGAGTTGGAAGAGCTTCCGGTAGTTACCAGATGCAGCTGCTGCTTCCAGCTCATTAGCACGCATCGACCACCAGGCTTCTCGGTCCTTACGCAAGCTTTGCCCGATTTCCTTACATAGCATCCTTCGTTTATGGTCAAACTCACGGTCACCCGGAGTAGACCGACGGGCTTCAATGAGTTGTAAGGAGCCTGAAGAAACCCAGTGCTTAAAAGCGGGACGTTTCGCAAACCCACAACTGACTGTACCCGCCATTTTCATGGCGTCATGCAATTGCAACCAATGCTCATCTATACTTTTCGGTGGAGTGGTAGCTAGCCTAGAGGCTAGCTCAGTTCGATACTTACTTGCAACAGAAGTTGCAACCAGCTTGCTAACATCAATCCGTTGATGGCGTTCACTTCGTTGTCCACTGAAAAGTAAGGCAAGATTGGCGCAGACCAAGGCATGGTCAGAGTCCAGATAGGTACTCCAAAAGGAGCGGCAGTCTTGTACACAACCACGCCAGCGGTAGCTGATCGCGATGTGATCAATCTGAGTCAAGGCTTGAGATGCAGAGGGAGGACGCCAGTTGGCACATCGGCGATGACTGTGCCGAAAGTTAGTGCTAGCCAGAAACAGGTTGTGGTCTGTGCAAAGTTGCAGTAGACGGTCCCCGTTATCTGACCTGCGACCAACGAGTCCCCATCGGCCACCTAAACGACTCTCTTCTGTGCCTAGACGCCCGACCTGAGCATTCAATTATCCGGCTAGTACTACAATATCTGTCGAACGCACTTTCTGGAGAAGAACTGATAACTGGTGGTAAAACTCATCCTTGATTGCATCCGGGCTGCAATCTGTCGGGGCATAGGCGGAGATGACGAAAAGACATCTTTTCTCACGCCGATTTCTTCTCACTTCGATGGAACTTTCTAATCTAACAGCACATAACCGACTGTTAATGGGGATCCAATCGACTAGTGCTGCCTCAGCTCTAGCGCTTAGTGCGACACCAACGCCAGCAAGACCAGACGAAGATGCCACAGGGTCCCCGGATCAGCGCACGTAAAACAAGCTTTTCGAAGCGACAGATGGAGATCGAATTTGTAGTACTTCGCCAGAGTCTTGAATACGGGTCTCGGATAGACAACACACGTCAATATTAAGACTTTCCAAAGACATAGCCAGCCCTATCTGTTGTCCGACCTGCATAAATGTGCGAACGTTGAAGGCAGCCAGTTTGAATGATGCACGTGGTTTCAGAAAATATGCTTCAGTCCTCGTATTCGGTGGTAACATACAATTTTCAACCGGACAGTGACTCGAGAACGTTTAGATACAGTCGGAATTCCACCAAAGACGAGCCGCTGTATAAGTATAAAAGAAGGTGAATAATGTGGAAAATAATAATAATAATAATGATGATAATAACAATAATGACAATAATAGTAGTAATAATAACATTAGTATTAATAATGACAATAATTGTAGTGATCATAATTTGAATCAATTGATTGTTTTTCAAAGCGACAAAAGTAATTTCCATAGACATAAAGAGTTCATCATTTGTGTGTGGGCTGTGATACTGCCCGGGTGCCCAAACCGAAGCAGGTGGTTATCTTAGGGGGCCACTCCCCGAGCCTTTGACCTGAAGGTCTAACCCACAAGGCAGTAGAGCATCGTCAGGAGATGCAGTCCCATGGTAGCCGGTGACCAACGATTGGTTCATACGCCATTCGTTCCCGCAGGATACTGGAGCCCATGTGCACCATTGGTTTGGAATCCGGTTAAAGCGCCGGACATTCGCTTTTCGTCCTCTCATTTTCGTAAACAACACCCCCGCCACGAGAAGGCAATGAGTAGGACTTCCCTGGCAGAGGCTGTATACGCGTGGCCGTGTGAGAGTATTTCGAGAGGGAGAGCGGACTCTCCCCACTCTCGGCCGTACCAGGGCATTCAGGGGGCCTGTTTCAAACTATATAATTATTATTAAGGTGTATTTATCAACTCCGTTCTGAAAGGTAAAGTACTGAATAAGTTCATCCCTGACAAGATTTACTATCATTTTTAACGATTGTACTTGTAAACCTTCACTTTTTTGATTACTTAATTGTCTTGTTGATGTTTCTATATATATTGGGTTCAAAGAAATTATGACCTGGCGATATCGTTTACTAAGATCTATGAGTCTTATTTCATACACACTAGTGGAATTAACTTGTCTATTTACAAGTACCTCAATTACTTGCGCATTATTAATACCTGACTGGCTAGGCTAATGGGATTTTCAAAAAACTGACTTCGTTTTTCAGTGAAGACAATACCATCTAATTAATCATCTATGTCATATAGTATCCTTCTGGAAACTAATCGTTGACCGTACTGATTTTCTCTATCTACCATGGCGCCCATCAGATATAAAAATTGTTTGCTGTGAAAATCCAAGACTTTTATATCCACCACTTTTCTTCATAGAAGGATGTACTTTAAACGACACCACACGTTTTCTAGGCCTAATTCGACTTCTGGACTGATAATGATGTAATAAAATGTTATATTATTCCCCACTGTTGCACTGTTTGATCAAAGTAGTGTATGGAAACATTTATCCTTATATACTATGCGGATAAATTGGAAACATGATTATTATTCTAATCTATTTAAATCTATTGAAGAGTTCTACGGAATTACGATAAAATGACCCAAATAGTTCAGACTTTGGCGTCTTTATGCATCGAAAATGGCGTAACGAGATATGCTGATTTGTCAGAAGTTATAAACAAGTTTAATTTGTCTGATATGATTTGATTATCCTCGTATCCTGTGTTGAAACCCTGTTCACCGATTCTGGTTCTCCTTTAGACTACTGTTGAATATTTGTCAAACGAATAAACGATTGTTTTTAAATAAATTCACTACAACTGGCTATAGCCAATAATAAATACTGACGTTTTTAAACCCCAAAATCATGTTCAAATAAAACTGCTAAATACATTTTTCATATTTGATAGAAATGAATCTGGAACAGTCAGTTGGGCCTACCGTTGATAATTTATTCAATTCTCCTGTATCTGAACCTGGTCCTACAAAAATACCTTCTGTAATTGGAACTAGAAAACCGAATACTACACGGGTAATTTCACCAGAATACATGAATATGAATAACTTGTCTTATTGTAAATGCAGGCTAGTAAAAATTGTATTTTAAAACAAAAGTATGCGATATCAATCAGTTTATTTACCTGAATCTCCCGGTTGCTGATTGAATGAAATTAAAAATCGGTCTGTAACAAAAATAAATCTGCCATATATTACTTCTATATTCAGTCCTCTTGTTCTCACGAGTTTTACTAGCAGCTTATTGTCATCCACTTTGTTTAATCAAGTAACATTAACTTTTTTATTGTACGCCTTGATTACCAAGGTGTTTGGTGTACAACTCAATAAATGGATAGGAATAAAGATAAATTGTATTGAATTCTACTAATAGCCAAAACTAAATAGTGTATTATCAAGAATCCAGTCTCACTATTTGCCTACCAAATTTTCTTTCTCCACAGTTCACAAGAGCTAGAATTTCTATAGCATTTATTTATCCTCTCATGTCCTCAATATAACAAACATTTATGCATCAATTTTTAAATTTATAAGTTCCATCTCATTATACTGTTTGTATAACATTTTGCAGTCATGTCTATATTACTCCGAAACAGTAACGTTGATTCTTTAAAGCTGGTCCTTTGACATTTATCAGATTCATACTTGGGTATTATTTATTTAAAGTGCACTCAGAAGACAGTACTTAATTCTACAAACTTAGTTTATTCTAATAACTTGGATATATTATTAACTACTTGTTCCGTTGTCGGCTTGATTCAGGATGGTACTCGTCACAGATTGACCTCAATTAGGGTACCGCGAAACCATAAGATTTTGTATTTGACACGAGTGGGATCGTAAGTGAACACTGACGGGGTTCCACACTTCAACAAACGAACCCCCTGATTTCTAATAGTGCTTCAACTGAGGTTAATCTATAACGATTAATACCTTCAGACTAAACTGATTTCCACAAGACCCACTTAAAATAATGGATTTCCCAACACCCTCTTGCTTGAACTAGTCATATTTGGACTTTTGTAGGCTGGACCTTAGTCGTTTTACCCTACATCTTTCCCTATCGTTTCACTTCCGTTCTATCCATTCATTTTAATAATTCTTCGAGTTGCCTAGTTAAATCCTGGCCCATAACATTTGGTGCACCCTCCACAAATTTTAATCATTTCCCAGATATGGACTAGTGGTTGAATATGTTTACCAACTGCTAACCTTAATCCATCTGTTTCAAGCCAGTGAGTTTTCAAAAACCCAAGATGTGCATTTGATTAGCCTTCTATTCGTTGTAGTTCAAAGCTTTGCAGTTACAAGTAAAGTTAATATTTTATAGAAATCATTGCCATCAATCATCTACCAACCGTTCTTCATTTAAATAGGTTATTGAAGACCTATTATAAACATAAACTACACGGAATTTCCTACGTATCTCTGTTCTTTGTAAACATGTTGCTAGTCAAACATTTTCAACGAATAGCCTGTTAAAACTATTATCATCGTTATCCATTTTAGCTTTCATGGGGTCAGTTCTCGCTTTATTAACAGTTTCAGAATACAATGGATTCCATATGTAAGGTGTTTGTTAATTGTTGCGCTCAGAGAAATTGTGATCGATTTTAATTCTATGAAATTAGCAGTTCACCACCTCATAGTTAATAATCTGATTCATAGTCCTGTGTATCTTAAGAATGTACTAACTGGTTATCACGTGTTAACTATTTATGGTTATACAAAGATCAAGTAAAAGTAATACTTGAAAGCTCCAAAGTCCTGCTCTAGTCAGTTGATGTTTTGAAAAACTAAACAAACTGAGAAAACGTTGCGTGAGTGAATATGTAGTAATATATGCAACCACCGTCATAATAATGACTCGATAACTTATAGTCACGACACTTACTAAAGATGTCCATTCGATATGGGACGACATTCCGAATTATTTGGGATTGGTAATAGACGGCTGATTAAGGCAGTTAAATATAAATAGACGAAACAGCTAGATTGACCAATGTCCATACGTCCATACTAAATTAAGCGTGCTATTCCTTCTGGGGTGCTGTCTGCAGTCGCTCACAAGATTTCTGCATTATGTGTTCCATTCAACTGATTGTTCAACAGTGGTTCGCATTGCCGCAATTTGGTCGGCACATGATCTCCTCTTGCCAAAACCAGCTCGTTAATCTCGAAGTTCGGTGTCTTCTAAATCTTACATTCTGTTCAGCAGCAATCTGCCAAAACGGCCTGATACTGAGAGTAATGTGCATAATCCTTTTGTAATTCTCACACCTAATGCAGTGAACGACTATTTTATTGTTTAATGCGCAATCACACAATGGTTTAGCAGAATGTGAAAATCATACATCAAGTGCATTATTTGCGCATCTTCGAATTGTCTCTTACAAACTTCATTGTTCCTTATCTCTTCTCTTCATTTCGATCTTCTCAACCTTCGTCTTGCAGCCACTCCACTTCCTATTGTTGTTACGTACTACTTATACCTGCAAACATATGTAACATACACCACACTAAGATCCCCTTATTTTGGTATCTTGACGAGGAATACTTTTCAATTTTTTATTACTCGTTCTTCCCCACAAATCCTTTTCAAGAGAACGTAGAACATATTTACAGTTGCCCCTTCATCTAACATTAGTGCTTCAACTGGTATGCTGTTTGGTTCTACTACTCTGCCAATAATTGTTTGTCTGATGGCTTTGCTATTGTTAGCGGGGTATCATCCATAGGGAGATATGCGTATGTTTCTTCCAAGTTCAGTGATTTTGGCGGCGCGGGTCCGTTTATAGGATTTTCAATGTGCTCTACTCACCAGTCCCACTATTCTTGATCCTCGGTGATTGGTTTGTTTTTCTTTGTTCCTGACCGATCGCTCCGGTCCATATTTTCCTGCAAGCCTGTTGGTGGTATAACATAGTTCTCTTCTTTATTAACACCCTAAAAGCCCTATATGCAAACACCTCAGGCAGAGTGAGGGCATACAACCACCTCTCTCCATTGTTCCATTCGAGCAGTGGGGTTACACAGGGTTGCCCAACCTCACCATTACTCTTCAACTGTGCCACCGACGACATTCTGGAAACAGCTCTGATGAATGTAAGTAATGTTGGTGTGGATCTGTTGCCTGGAGAAAGACTTCTCGACCTTGAGTATGCGGATGATATTGTCTTACGGTGCGATAATGCCCAAGCCATGCAATCAGCACTTAATCAGTTGGCAATCAGTGTCCGTAAGTATGGTATGTGCTTTGCACCTTCGAAGTGCAAAGTACTCCTACAAGACTGGCAGTATTCTAATCCTGTACTCACCCTGGATGGTGAGCAGATAGAAGTAGTCGAGAAGTTCGTGTATCTAGGTAGATGCATAAGTGCTGGTGGTGGCGTGAGTGCTGAGATCAATGCACGTACAGTGAAAACCAGAGCAGTTTATGCCAATCTGGGCCATCTTTGGCGCCTTCGTGATGTTAGTCTGACTGTAAAAGGTCGGATATAAAATAGCGTCGGTGAGAGCAGTTCTGCTCTATGCTTGTGAAACCTGGCCCCTCGGAGTTGAGAATTTTATACGACTCTGTGTTTGATCATCGTTGTCTCTGAAGGATTGCTGACATCCAGTGGCAACACCATGTTAGAAATACAGAGGTTTGGCATCGTGTGTTCGGGGACAGAGATGATTATGCAATTGGTGTTACCATTTTGAAACATCGACTTCGGTGGCTTGCATATGTTCTACGAATGTCGTCCCAGAGAACTCCACGTCGTGCATTATTTGCCGACGCTGGGACTGGTTGGAAAAAGCGGAGATGTGGTTAGTGTATGACATGGTGTCGTGGTATGAAAGAAAGCTCCAAAGGGCTGGCTTCTGTTGGTCCTACACGACTCCCTGGCTGGGGTCCGAGAGATGGTGCAACACAGTGGCTAGAGACGTTATCAGATGTGGCTCAGAATAGAAGCCAGTGGCGATCCTGCTGCAACCTTCCTTTACTTTTTTCATTAAAAAAATGGTTGTTTCTTTCTTAACTGAAAGGTTTTTTCTGATTGTACCTTTCCGTTTCCCCTATCATTACTATTATTATTTTTTTATTACTATTACACTACCTTACACTAATCTGTTCGTTATTGTTCTTTTTCCCTCTCTTCAAATTCTGATTGTTTTGTGTGGCGCATATATATTTGGTGCCCTCTTGTACCAATATTTGTGTTCAAATAAATAAAAATAAATAATTCCAAAACCCGAATACTGTCTCCATCAGTTCAATTAATGTTCTTGATATACTGCTCTCCTTTACTTCGAATTAATCACAACCTATTAAACCCCACACAATGGAGTTCGAAATCAATATAGCATTCCTGTTGTTGAGGGTTATCAGCCTACCGGAGGGTAGCTGAATTAGCGGTTGCATTCCACAACTTATCACGTCTCCCAGTTCACGCATGCTTGTAAGATATGGACATATATGTGAAGATATGGTTGATCTGAGCCATGTTGAGGGATGCAGACTTCCAGATAGGGCCGAACGTAATGCGTAAAATCAATTATTTTAGGGATTGTATGACATTCCACATGGATTTCCTGTAGATAGATCTTTTTAAGTTACCGTCTTGCTTTCTTGTCATTATCACATCAAGGAAGTGAATCGTTTGTTTGTTTTCAACCTGTAATGTGGATTTTATTGATGGTTGGGAATTATTAATTGTCTTCATATTTGTTATCACAAACGATAAAGATATCATTTATGTATCTTTTATACAAGTGAAGCTTTTCTATAGTCGCTTCCAGTTGATTGTTTTCTAATCTGGCCATGAAACAATCTACAAGTAACGGACCCAGAGGGGATCCCATTGCTATACCGTCCTTCTGTCTATAAATATTATCATTATTATTATTCTCCAGCCGACCAATGTTCACCAATAATCTGAAAGATAAATTATCGCAGCTGACCAACTCAATGTGCGTTTACCAATTTACCTGCTCTTGTAGAGCTAGGTATATAGGTCTTTCGATGCGTACTTTATCCAAAAGAATTCAAAAACATTATCCGGCGTGGCTAAAAAAGAGGAGACAACGGTTCAATAAGAAGTTCTATAATCGAACACCTTGTGAACACAGGTCACTCAATCAAGACAGACTCTGCCTTCAAAGTCATCTTCAAGGTGAGTAGAAGTCCTCCTAAGACAATCAGACGGCATCTTCTCTGCATTGCCGAAGCAATAACCATACATCTGGAAAAACCAGAATTGTGTTACAACCTCTTCTTCTATCATGGTCTTAATGTATTAAAATTTTCTCTTTTTTTCATACTCTTGTTCCTTTACAGCCATCTGCTTCACCCTCCATCTTCACTTTAGATCTTCTACCCCCAACTGGTTTGTTTTTATTTCCACGATCATTCCGATTACATTTCATCTCTGTTTCAACATTTTATTTTATCATGCTGAGCCATCCTTTCCCACTGATTATTTCCCTATCTATCTTTTGATGAATACTTAAGCCAATAACAATCAAACGATTATTAAACTTTCCTTGTTTTAAAAAGTTTTTTTTTATTTTTATTTTTTAATATCTTTGTTTATTTAACCTCACTGTCACCATGTATAACAGAAGTTTATTATCAGTATTATTATCATCCTGTAAAAATAGTTATGTATATTTGCGATTGTACAGCTTTGAAAATGAATTTGTCGAAAGGAGAACTCTTCGCTGAACTAATCTTTCTTATTTAACATATTCACCAACATAAACACGTTACTATATTTACAATACACAAAATGAAGATGTATCGTTTAACTCCAATGCTTTTTGCGGTAAGATTGTGTAAAGACTTTCTAATAATGAAGTTTATATGTCTGACCTCAAATGCTCTGGCACGGCCGAGAGTAGGGAGAGTCCGTTCAGCCTCTCGGAATGCTCTCACATTGCCACGCGTATATAGCCTCTTCCAGGGAAGTCCTGCTCACTGCCTTCTCGTGGCGGGGGTGTTTACGAAAATGAGAAGACGAAAAGCGAATGTCCGGCGCTTTAACCGGGTTGGTGGACATGGGTAGTCCATCTAGGTGAGTTGGAAAACCTTTATTCCAAACCAGTGATGCACATGGGCTCCAAGATGATGAAGGAAAAAATGGCGTATCGACCAATCGTTGGTCACCGGCTATCCTGGGACTGCATCTCCTTACGATGCTCCACTGCCTTGTGGATCAGACCTTTAGTTCAAAGGCTCGGGGTGTAGGCTCCTAGGAAAACCACCTGCTTCGGTTTAGGCACCCGAGAAGTACCACAGCCCTCACACAAATCAAATGAGATATGTGCGGCACATATGTATTTGGTGCCTCATTGTACCAATATCTATGTGTTCAAATAACAATAATTATTATGTCTTTCACACAAATTTTTTCAATTGTATTTCTTCATATTTCATACGTTTCTGAACGGATTATATCTCTTTTCTTCTGTAAATTCAAATGTTTCGTTCAGTCTAGTGCTAAAAAAGGTGGGTTGGGGGCATCAAAGGTGAAAGCTGATTTCTCTGCCATCGTTTCGGCTGCCGAACGTGCTGATATTGAAAAGAAATGTCAGATTCGTTCAACTGATAAGGATTTAGAAGATAAAGAAAAACGTAATGAAGAACGACTGTAAGTATTTCCTACTAAAATATCCGGTTATATTTAAAAAGGAATAGCTGACTAAAAGCTTATTTCATAACTACTATGTTTTAATAATTATCACCCCATAAGCTGAAAAAATGCATATGATTGCAAATTACATTTTTTAAATTTTTTTAGTGCGTCACTTCGGTTAGCGTATAAAGATATTACCGATGGATGTGAAAAGCAAGACACTGCCAACTTGAAGTCTACGGACTCTCAACGTGCCAAACAAGCTGAACGCCTTGGTATGGGTAAAATAGGTACAGGCAACAGGTAAGTAAGTTCGTACGTTCTGAATCGCTTTGCGAACTGCAAGCATATTAACTGAATTATAGCGTATTTCTTTCTCTTTCCTCTACTTCCAGCTAATATAAATTCCGGTCTCATTATTTTATGGAATTTGATACAAGATTAGTTTAACCATTGTTACTTTTCAATAGTTGAGATCATGAGTCAACTGAAGCTAGACCACCATGGAAAACCTGGATGCACTGAACGGCCGCGAGATTAGAACCATGGACCTATCGGTCTCGCGCGCGAACACTCAACCTCTAGACCACCGATCCGGCGTCGTGAGGCAGCATCGTGGATGCGCGCTACTAAGAAGTCCCACAATCGGACGTAGCCGCCGTCCAATGCTTCCAGGTTTTCCACGGTGGTCTAGCTTCAAATGACCCATTGTAGTGAACAAGAACAGCAGTGGGAACAATCGAATATATTTGAGCACAGAATTACAGAGAATCTCAATAAAATCTGCGAACCATATAGTAAATCGTTAACTTGCAAAATATCAATCCATCATATCAAACTTGACTGTTCCTGTCGCAAACATCAATCCATTGTCTCAGATATCATTGTTCATGCGTTTTCATACCAATTGCGTTCCGTTCCCGTTCTTTCCTCATCGACATTCTACTGAAATACATTCTATGCCCAACCACCGTTATATATTACTTGTGTGGATATAAGTAACCCACACCACACCATGATATCAACTACTGAGATTACTGTACTATCCACAAAAAATCATTCTGATGCTAATTATTACTTTCTAAATCATTTATCAACCTTGTTTTCTACTATCATTCACACTTAGTTAATTACGCTCTTACCCCTCGTGTAGCAGCATAGGCTACCCACCAGCAATCTCGATTCAACCATGTTCTTGGCAATACTTTCCAGTTGCTATGCATCCTTTTCATGCCTGCCTCCGATTCCCGACGCACTGTGTCCTTCGGTCTTCCTCTTTTCCGTTTCCCTTCAGTATTCCAAGTCGGCGCTAACCTCGTGATTCAGTTTGATGATCGATCGCACATAAGACACGATTATGAATCGTAGGAGCCAAGGAGTTTTTTGTGTACATTTCTTGAATGATGGCTTTATCAAACTCACGGAAATGTCGATAGTCTTGAGCATCATAATGACTCTTATTTATCTGTTCAGAGTGACGATTCATGTAAGATTCTGTGATTTCTTCAGATTTAGCAATTACTCGAAAAACTTCCATCAAACTTCTAAAACTTGACTGGCTAACTCAGTGGGGACATTAGCGGAAATACCTCAATAATGTGTATCACGTGATAGGGATAAACCATCAAGAGACCTGTAATATGGTCCGGTGGGGTGAAACTGGATGTAAGCTTTTCATAAAATTCTATCGAACTGTGTCAAGTCTTAATGTGAGTACCCACTTCCAACTTCATTGTTAGTTATGTGTGGTGAAATTTTTCCAACTAATACAACAGAGTACAGTACATTTGCCTAAATTAGTATGAGGATTCGATCATTAATTTCTTACTCGTCCGACAAACTCTTTCTGCTCGAGTGCTTGATAAAGAGAAACTAAATGAGACGAACCACCGTTGTTGCCCGTTCCCGACATAATTTATATGTGCGCACATTTTAGTAGCCATAGGTAAATGGGCTAAAACACGTCCGACAAAATCCAAAGCACGTCTAGTGTCCAAAAGAGTCAAATCACAAATATAAGTATAGACTATTCCTTCCATAACCTATCAGCGTTTATCGTATTTAACTTCTTTTAAATTTCCTTAAGAGATATCAATAATAAAGTGGTCAGATTCAGTAATTTCAAGGAACGCTTTCTACTGAAAGGAATGGTTATTCAGTAGGCTAAGTTGAAATCGGTCAAACAGTAATCTTATATGATTTGGTCTTTCCTCTGGAAATGAAACATGCTACGGGTGAAAAGGGCGTACCCTAAACTTTTGGGGTCAATTACGTATGTGAATGAGTGCACAGGCATTTCGCGATTCCGTTATCCAATAAAAAGCTTCTGTCTTCAGGGCCTGTGAGGTGCAATTGACCTCCAGAGAAATCCACCACCAAGTTGAGTCTTTTCCAAGTCACACGACATATCACTAAATGTAACACCCACAAAGCGAACCAACTTTCATATTGGACATTAAAGTCATGGTAAAATTATCATTATAGTGTATGAAAATTTATCCCCTGTCTAGATTGTCCATGTGTGCTTTAACGTATCAAAATAATTGAGTGACTTATTAAATTAAAGTATGTAGCACACGTAACAACCTGATCTTGCATGTAAACTGACATGCCTCATGTAACATATTGTGATCTGAAAATATATTAATATTACAAGTTAAGGCTTGCCTCGTGATTCAGTTTGATGATTTCTTGAATGTGTGTTCTATTCAGTTCCAGCATCTTTTCCTGATTTCCTCTTCATCTGAAACTGATTCGTCCTCTCCCACAGTAGGCTGTTGCTGCTGGTATCCGGCCAACAGATATTGAGTATCTTGCGTATACAATTGTTTATAAATACTTGTAACTTCTTGATGATGGTTGTGGTAGTTCTCCAAGTTTCAGCTCCGTACAGTAAAACTCTCTTGACGTTCGTGTTGAAGATTCTGACTTTGATGTTGGTTGGCAATTGTTTTGAGTTCTATATGTTCTTCAATTGTAGGAGTGCGGTCCTTACTTTGCCAATCCTCGCATTTACGTCTGCGTTGGATCCTCCTTGTTCATCAATGATACTTCCCAGGTACGTGAAAGATTCTATATCTTTCAGAGCTTCTCCATCAAGTGTGGTTGGGTTGGTGTTCTCTGTGTTGTATTTGAGGATCTTGCTGTTTCCCTTGTGTATGTTGAGGCATACTGCTTCAGAGGCTGTTGCTACACTAGTTGTCTTCATCTGCACTGGTTCGTGTGTATGGGATAGAAGGGCCAGGCTATTTGCGAAGTCCAAATTTTCTAATTGATCATGAGCTGTTTATTGTATTCCGAGCTCTCCCTCAGATGTGGTGGTCTTCATAATCCAGTCGACCACCAGAAGATAGAGGAAGGGAGAGAGTAAGTAGTGTTGTCTGACACCGATCTTTATTTAGAATGCATCTGTCAGCTGTCCTTCATACACCACTTTGCAGTGTAGTCCGTCGTATGAATTCCATGTGGTGTTGACGATTTTCTCAGGTACACCATAGCGTCGAAGAAGGTTCTATAAGGTTCTCCTATCCACTCTGCCAAATACCTTTTCATAGTCAAGGAAGTTAATTTATAGTAACGACTTTCATTCCATTGATTGATCAACAATGACCTGTAGTGTCACGATTTGGTGTGCTCATGATCGATCTTTACGGAATCCGGACTGTTGATCTCGAAGCTGAGTGTTCACTGAATCCCTCATCCGGATCAAAATCACTGTTGAAAACTTTTCCCGGTACCGATAGTTGTGTGATGCATCTGTAGGTCTCAAATGCTGTAGTTTACCAAATTGATGATAAACATATCAAGATAAATCAAATGGTTTAAATGATTTTGGACGGTATACAAGAGGCTTACATTTAACGGGCTTCTGTGTCTAGTAGCTGTGGATCACCAATGCCTAGGTATATTACCGATAAAAGAGGGAAGCGAAATTGTTAAATTATAGTTAGATACTATCCTAAGTCATTAAAAATATATCAAGTTTCCTCTTAAACGACTCCTGGCAAATCGCTTGGACTGGCTCAGTTGGCAACTCTTAATGAGTAGAAGTTGTATCCACAATCAATCCTGCTGCGTTGTGTCTCCATTTTCTCAGTGTTACTTCTTAGGTTTGCGTTGGAGCTAAACTTAGTCAGGTATGCAAAGGGATGTCCAGAAGTGGTAAGGACTCTGTATGCCATTAGATGATCACCTCTAAGATGCCTGATCTCTATTGGGTAAAGGTTTATTGATCCTAGACGCTTTTCATAAGGCTTGAATTTGAGTCCCTGAATTCATTTTATGGTTTGCCTTTGGACACTTTCTAGAGTGTCCTTATTATTTTGGAGTGAGGGAGGAAATACTATGTTTTCGTACTTTAAATGAGGACGAATGAAACTGTTGAAGATTATGTGGAAAGTCAACCTGACCTTAAAATGTCGACTTTTTATATATGAAGTGAGCCAATCAATTAGAGGTGATTTGATACCTATTCGTTTGAGCTTACTGATAAGACATATAAAAGCTTTGGAGAAGTCAAGGTAAATGACTTCTCAGAAAGGTTTTACCAACTACAGTGAGAGGCGAATAGTCAATGAGTTTTAAATGGTGTTAAATCCCTCTACCCTCAATAGGTAAGGAGGCCTGACAATCCATCCATGTTGAACTGTTTATCTAAACTACCATATGTAACACCATTCATTTTCCACACTATTTACATACACAAACACTCAAATTCAACCCAACTACCTCACATTACAAAGGTATACAGTCCTCATGTTTCCTTTCTTACGCATAAATTATCACAATGATATCATGCAAAACTACATGGATCAAAATAACTTGTCATTGACATGTTCGGACCTATAAGAATATGAATGTACAAAAACTATTCTGCATTGTCTCTCTGTACTATTTAAACTTATGTTGGCTTGATTTCGATTATTTTTTACCCTGAATAAGTGGCATTAAGTCACGAAACGTCAGAAATACGATTTCCTACTCATTTGTTTATCACAAGATGTAGTTATTACCAGATATCCCTAAGTTTAGTGGACGTTGGCGTTCAGAGAGATTGCATGTGTTTGGATTGTAGGAAAACATTACTTTTTATATTTCTTTGATCGAAAACCCTAGAATACATAACATCTTGGTTGTTGGAAGTTTACATCACAATTTGAACCCCATATCTACGTAGTGGATGACAATCGGCCTTAATTCTCACTCTTTGGTATGTCTGATGGCTATATTGATTTCTTCCATCGTTGGTGGAGTGCCATCTAAAGGAATGTCTGTGTGTGCTGCTTCGATGTTTGATGGGTTCAGTGGGGCTGGTCTATTCGAGAGTTCCTCGAATTATTCCACCCATCTGTTCTTGAATCTCGGTGATTGGCTTTCCTGTGTCCTTGATTGGTCTCTCTGTTTTACTATATTTCCCTGCTAGTTTCTTCATCGTGTCATATAGTTGTTCCATATTTCCTCCTCCTGCAGCTTTATCTGCCGTCGTTGTTAGCTCTTCCATATATTTGTACTTGTCAGCTCTAATGCTTCTCTTCACTTGCTTGTTTGGTTCTGTGTATTCGGCGCGTACCTTGACTTTCTCTGCTCTTGTTCGGCTGTTGTTAATTGTTCTCTTCTTGTTCTTACTTTCTTGAATCTCATTTAGGTTTCCGATAGAGACCCATTCCTTATGATGGTGCTTGTTGCTGCCCAGAACCTCCTGACACGTTGAAGTTAGTGCTTCTTTAAGCCTTTTCCACTTATCCTGCTTAGTAATTTCTTGTTTGAGTAAATTTTGTAAAGCTTGTAACCTGTTGTTAAAAGTTATCTTGAATCGGTTGAGTTTTTCAGCATTTCAAGGGAAGATTGCATTAAACCTTTGTAATGCTGTTTCCCGAGTTGTCCATTGCATCTTTAGCTTCAATTTCATCTCGGCCACAGCCACGTGGTGATCCGAAGCTATGTCAACTACTCTCCTGGTTCTCACGTCTTCGATTGTCCGTCTGAATTTTTTATTGATACCAATATGATCTATCTGGTTCTCCGTGGTGTGATTCGGTGAGACCCATGTAGCTCGGCGTATATGTTTGTGTGAGAATATTGTGCCGCCTATAACCAATTTTTTGAATACACATAGGTTTGAAAATCTCTCGTTATTCTCGTTCTTTTCTCCTAGTCCATGTTGTCCCATGATATCTTCACACCCGATGTTGTCCATTCCGACTTTTGCGTTTGGTTTCCCATCAGGATGGTAAGGTCCTATCTTGGCCACTTCGCTATGATTGACTGCAGCCTCTCATAGAACGGATCTTTATTGTCATCTTCGCTATCATTGGTGGATTCATAACACTGGATAACACTCATCGCGATTTCCTCCTTCTCTATTTTGAAGGATGCTTTGATGATCCTGGATCCATGAGATTCCCATCCTATGAGTGCAGTACGTACTTCTTAAAACAGCATCAGAACAACTTCCTGAGTGTGTGGAGCATTTCCCTCCTTGTGACCGGAGTACAGGAGCATCTCTCCCGTAACTAGCCTTTGTTGTCCAGATTTCGTCCAATGGGTTTAGCTGATTCCGAGTACTGCCAAGTTGTATCTCATTTCCGTTGCTATTTTTCTGGTCCTCCCGGTCTTCCACATTGTTTGGATGTTCCATATACCTATAGAAAATATTGTTCTGGTTGTTAAAAGGGGCATCGATCTCTTGACTGCGCAAGAATCTCGGCTTTCATTCTGAGACGTCTTAATTTCTCCTTGAACTCGGAGGTCAGAGTTTAATCTGGTTCGCGCTGTTTAGCAAAGTTTTGTTCTGCGGGATAGGGTTGCTGACCCCATGCCCAACCCCCTCCTTTACCTGGGCTTGGGACCGGCAGTAACTCTAGAAAAGCTACAAGCGGAGTTACATGCATTCGAAGCATAGTGTTAATAAAAGTCCTGAGACAAATATATATATATATATATATATATATATATATATGCAATGGTTTATCTTTTATTGATAACTTAAGAAGATATGAGATGCATATTTATAATTAAAATTATGTGTATAGTGCTATTCATATCAAGAAAATTTTAGAAACAGATTAAATCCTGAATAAAAAATATATATAACTGTTTAAGGGTTGTTAAAAACTATATTCTACATGGTTCATTAACTATTTTTTAATGATTTGCACAGAGTTACCGACAATTCAATTCAGTCATGTAAGCTAATCATTCATGCTTAAAATCTCTGTAACTGAGTAGTTGATTCAACAAGTGACTTTCTTCAGTAAGGCAAATACGCTCTAGCTCTTTTACGTGTAGGATGTAACTCATATTAATTAAAATAAGCCCACTGTGCTGAAACAATCTACCAACTAAAGCAGAAAACTAGCGCTAGTACCTGTATTCATACATATAATCGTACACTTGCTAAGTGAGACTATAATTTATTATTTTATGGGCGACCTTTGAGCGATGCTAGACTGATCTTGAGAGTGTCCACTTGATAACTAGGACCAAATGTAGATTATAAACCTGTGTGAGGAATTATAATTATGATTTACATTCGATGGTTAATGTTATGAATTATATTTAGGGTTTTCATCACGAACTGACATCAGCCATAATGCCAAAACTCTTTTTAGCCACATTAACGAGAGAATTTCGCTCCAAAACTCGAGATCTGTTGTCTTATACCTGATTGGTTCGTCCATAAATTATGGTTTCGCCACTAGCTACAAAGGTGATCCAATACAACAATCATGTGTGCGCGATGTAAACCGAGGTTTAAGAATCTATCTCTCTTGATCTAACTATGATCAGTTATATTCGTGAAAAATAATACCAGTTTTAAACAAATTTTCCTTGCGTTTAAATGTACCATATGATTTCATTTAAAAAAATTCAGACTAGGTAATTTTGAAATTATTACGCATTGTTTAATTTTCTTTTTTCTAAACGTCTTGACAACACTTATGATGTGGTTGTATTTGATCATTTCACCTATGGTTAAGTAGTTTCCGTCAATGTCGCAACTGTACATTAATGTGTGATAATGAAAATACTTTTTAAATTATCAAAACAACAATTTAATCCCTTCACTTGAACGAGTATCCACTAATCTATATATCCATTTTTTGTAGAGAAATATCGCACTCAGCATTTGCAAATATTCAAAAAATAGAGCAAGAAAACTCGGCTCCCACCCACACTTCATCGCTAAGTTCAAATTTGGACCCTTTCTTCATTTCAAGTTACAGTAATAGAGACCGTGATACACGCAATTTTTTCGATTCTGGAGATGATAATTTATTCGGTTTGTGACAGTTTTGGTTTTTGCCATTAGGTTTTTATAATATTCTGTGGTAAATATCAGGAGTTCAGTAATGGTGATTAATTAAAAACTGTATTTGATAGTTTTATACAATTTTAGCGTTATGTAATACACATATAAAAGTAGCTGAAGTTTTGGCCATATATACTTCCTAAACTATTTGCATTTACTGTTATTATGGTGCCCCTCAGACCAACTTATAGCTAGTGGTTCTGATTGTAGTGCATTTTTCTAAATGAACAACTTGTTACCTTCACATTCTTATTATGTAAGTTTCTCTTTCCACTAAGGTTTGTTAATATTTGATTTTCTCACGTAATGCCGTGTTATTTACTTCCTAAAGGAGGCTCTGCGACGTATGGTATGAATGGCGGATGGTCAAAAAATAAATCAAGGGACAATGACTGGGATGGGCATTTTTCAGACCCTTTTAATCAAAAGCCAAACAAAACACGTGATTTGTCTACTGTTGCTGATGAATTTCCAACTAAATCACCCAGCAAACAGCCTACATCTCTTTCGTCTAAACAATCAGAAACTAATCCAGATCTAAGTGAATTAATGAAGAAGTTTGCCAATGCGACTTCTATATCGTCGGATGCGTTTTTTGACCGAAATGATGTAAGCCTAAATGGACTAATATGTTTATCTTTGGTTTTTAAGTTCACATCGTATTACTGCTATAACCTATATCTGACAATGCTTGACGATTCCTTACATGCCTACGTTCCTCATAGAAATTGGTAGTTTGAAGAATCCATTTATATCGTAATCATGAAAGGTTACATTATTTATCCCTATACTTTTGTAAGATGTATATTTAGCTGGACACCGTCTACAGAATTAAGATAATTAAGCGTGTTTTCGTGTCAAAGACTTGTCTAAACAGCGAGATTGTTTCGAAAATTCTTTCTATTACTAGATAACAACACCTGAAAGGACTGACGGAATGCAGAAATACTTGATAGTTGACTCGGTTCCTCCCATTACTCTCACACTCCTTTAGAGTCACACCAGATTTTTTGTGCATAATCATTTCTGTCTTATCAGAACTCATTAATTTTCATCCTATATCTTCGGTTAGTTCTTGATATGTTTATTTTGTTTACTGATTTCATTTCCACTATTAATATTAAAATTCAAGATACTCACTTTTCCTCAGATTCAATGGCTGTCTCGTGTTGACTTACAACGATATGAACAACCAAATGTTTTTGAGCTGTTAACTCAAATGTTCATAACTCACAAATGACCATTCTCTACGTAAAGCCGCGAAATTTTTTATTAACTGGCTCCGAAGTTGTGGATAAATTTTAACATATGAATATTACAACATCACCTTTCGTTTATTATTTTCTAACCACTATTTTGTTCAACTAAGTTGGACTGATCGATGATGACAATTAAAACAACTGATCTACAACCAAATGTCACCTGTTGTAGAATAAACGTTTTGATTTACTATGTGAATGTGTTTTGGATTGGTAATATAAATGAATGTTAATCAATTAGTGAAATGTAATAATACGATTTGGTTGAGTAATAGCTATGTATGAGATTATTGACACAAACCTCCCAAACAACAAATAGCAAAAGAGGAAATAAATCCCCAGCAGATTAGGCTTTTTCTTTAGTAAAATAGCCTGGCTATTTCCAAAATACTAACGCTTAGATAAATGAGTTAGTGCTATAAGTGATTGAATGACATTAATTTAGGATGTGTTGCTAATGGCTTAACCATCTCAGTCATGTTACGTTATTTTTATACTATCTGTCATAGCTAGTTTGGTCTGACTAAATATTTTCCAATAAAAAGCCCTCAGTAAGTTGACCTATTTCTTTTTACATATTATGGTGACAGATACTATGAAAAATCTCTTGATTAGCAGAGCCGAATAGTGCCTTCTGTCCAAAGAATATGGATGCAATCAAAGAGGAACACGTATTCCAGTTTATATAAACCGCTGTGACATAACAAACAAGAGTAGCATCTATATTTGAAATTGCTGCAAATTGTGTGCAAGTTATGTTAACAATTGTCTGTATATATCAAATTATCTCGCTTATTCTTAATAGACAAGTTGCCTACGTCATTCTCTCTAGAAAACCAATAAAATATCTTTTTCCTTATGTTCACATGTTTTTAAGAAGTTCAATTCGTCGTAATTGAGTTATTATTATGTAAAAACTATGTTCTTTGGAAGGTGATAGTTGAATTAATCAGCCTTTATGTTTGTTTTTCTATCCTTCGAAGGTTCTATATATGTGCGATATCTATTTATTCACTTGTTTTTCACTTATACTAGTCTGAATCTGATGGGCTCTCAAGATTTCAAGGGAGTTCATCTATTTCGAGTGATGATTATTTTGGTCATCCTAAAGTGCGACAGTCTCAGGTATCTAATGAATTACAAAATATCAAAGATGGTGTCAAGCAAAGTGTAACTAAAGTTGCTGGACGGCTGTCAAATCTGGCAACTGACGTAGTACACACTCTTCAAGTAAGTTTAGTTAGATAAATACTGATTATTAGATGTTTTGACTATTTTTTGGAAAGTATGATCGATTGAATACTCCTCAAAGTACTGCACACATTGTTGATTAACTTTTTTGATGACAAAAATTGACGATTACACGCTAAGACTGAACCGTGTGAAATAGTTTTGAATCGTTTCTCAATATTCGCCGTTGCAAGTAACGCGATCGGAATAGTTGATTGCTAATGAATAATCCTTTTCATCTGATAGATATTGAACCCAGTTCCAAACGAACTGTTTGGTTGTTCGATGGTTATTTTATTGAGGTGTTTAATGAAAGATACTACTCTGTTGTTCTACTACTAAAGAATGCAATAATTCTACGTATCATATATCAGTCTGTTTATTTATTCAACACAGTTTACTGTTGTGGAAATACGAATACTTTTGAATTGTTTCCCTCAAGAAGTAATATCTACACGAGTTATTGATCTCAGTAACAGTTGTTTGTACTCTCATGACGGCTCTATATTTGTTACCTGAGGACTAATAATACCATATGATTTTTCAGGCTCGTCTCTTTGAATCACTTCCACAACTGTTGTAGAGATTAGTAAACTGGTACGTGTAACTATTTATCTAGTTGAGACCAAAATGCAACATGTTTATTAAAATTGACATTTAAACAAAACAGGCTACCTAAATCAATAAAGAAAGAATTATTCATGACGAACAGATTTGTCATTGAATGGTTTTGGTTAGCGAGTCCGCACCAAATTATGTTAGTGGTAAGAGACATTGTCATATAATTTCCATCGTAAACTGATCGAGACTTCTGACCAACGAAATGATAATAGTCTGAAAGGCTTAAAAATAAATGGTCAAAGTTTGGTGGTTAAATTAAATAGTAATCAAAGTAGTAGCCTAATGAGGTAAACTATACAGTAAGACATAGCTGTCACGTTGCTCACTAACAGCCCTCAGACTACCATGGATTTTGAAAGTAGAAATGTGATAGTACTTTACTTTCTTGGACATTTCATGAAACAGTCTAGCACTTAAAAGGAGGCCAGCCAAACAAATATTTTAAGGTTGGCTACTGTCGATGATATAATCGTTCAAGTTGATATCCACCCGTTTTGAGAGTTTTTGACCCAAAGTCCCTTTCATTGGTTATTCCAACCTTGGTATGTGAAGCAACTTTTGAAGCAGTAATCCACTTTCTGTCAGATTACCAATTCATTGCTTCCCAATTGATGCCGAGTGTTTGTTTTTATCATTCCTCTTTTACAAGCACATATTTTATTATCGCTTAAAATTTGTATATTTACATTTGGGTGCATTTTTTCAGGATCGATTCGGTTAGTTGCTTCCAGCTTTTTAATGCTTTCAGTCAGCTTGTGGGCCTTTCGGTCGATATTCTGGTTTAGCCGCCAATCTTCTCTTCGTTTTCGGCCACGATCGGGGTTCAGGACATTCCTTTTTTTCCGGTTATCTATTCTTAAAGCTTTTGTTATTTTTTGTTTTATTCATCTCTCCAGAGATAATACGTTAGTTAATCCTAGTTGACTGTAAGAGTCATTTTGTTTAGTGGATGATATAAATTGAAGTTTTGTAAAACATATTTTTGGTTGTAAACACCAAGTAAACCATAGTTTCTGGGGTGATTGTTGTCTTGAAATGCCTCCTATTATTTACGGAAATTATTATAACGTGATTGCTTTATTCATGTGAATCGCTTTCCTTTTCATATGTATCAAATAATCTATACACCAATGTTTCTAGCATGATTATCGCAACATCTGTGGATAGGAGAAACATAAACAAAGAAATTGACGGATTAATATTGATATATTTGACCTTATTATTGACACTTTCATAATACATATTGATATGAGTAATGTTTCGTCCTGGTATATGACTCGAGTGCGTGTCTACAATCCTACCAAGGATCAAATCTAGAAAATAAAAAATACAGTAGCATATATCATTAGTTAGAGATATGTCCTCCAATGGTAATCTTGACAGACTAAGAAATTTTTGTGTTTAATAAAGAACGTTCGTGTGCAGAGCGGTGAAAATTGTCCAAAAGATTTTGTGATGTTCTACGTTTCTTTCAGTCCTATAGGACTGATATTTTGTTGATCATAAATATTGGCTATCTACATGCAAGTTATATGGAATGTATCAGAGGAACTACTCATCTGTTGTGTATACAAATGCCATTACTAAGCTCGTATTGATGAATTATTACTGTGCTGAAGGTCCTCACGAAACTGGATGTAATTCAAAATATTTAATGGGGGAGAGGTAGCAACATGAGCATAGTCAACATTTAGGGACAAATGCTTAAATGTAAAAACGATGTTATGGGTTTCACAGATCATGTGATTCGTAACTAATATTATTTCACTTGCAGGTATAATTACCAAGGTTTGACCTGATAATTTCGAATAAATTGAGTATTAGATACTTTGTTATAAATAAATTAATATTTTTAATGTCCCAATGAGAAGAAAAATTAGATTTTCTGACATTTCCTGACTCAGTGTAAGCCAAATATGTTAATTTATAATATTATTGCACTGTTTGGCTGATTATGACTTCTTTTGATCTTACGGTCTTAGATCTTCCTTTTTTATTGTGAAACTAGACTTACGGTTTTGTACATATGATAGCTAAGCCGTTGCACCGATAATTTATACCTTGGATTAGACCATATATTATGAATTAGAAAACACATTTAAGGCGGTGGTAAAAAAAAGTTACCTGTTTTCAGTTAACGAACTAAGCCTAACCATTCCTGTCAGTTAAATCGAACGATATTTGGAGGATTACAGCACTTTTAGATCATGATAATCCCTAAACACCATCATCGGGTACTGCTAACACAAGGTACATGTTCTGACTGTTTTATTCACGAAATAGTGCTCCGAACTGAACTACAACTTTTGATCCAATTCGTTTCGTTAACGAACTCACCAAATATGATAGTTTAAATATAACCGTTTCGCTGCTATTTATTGTGACTGAATGATATCTTTTTTAATATTACTTGATTAAAGGTATGTATTGTAGCCTTGAATTGTTCACTTGAAAACCTGGAAGTACTAAACGGCCGTTTCGTCCTAGTATGGTCGCGCAAGATCATGGACCGATTCAAGCTTTACAATAACACCGTTGGATGCGTGCTCATTGTTCTAGAGGTTACGCGTTCGCACGTAAGGCTGGAAGTCCTGCGTGCGGGATCGTGGATCCGCTCTGCTGATGAGTCCCATACTTGGACGAGACGGCCGTCCAGGTTTTCAGTGGTGGTCTAACATTGATTGGTTCATGATCTCAATGAAAATATAGCTCACATTGTAAGCTCCAGCTTCACCTTGTATACCCTTATGTTCATGGGAGTTTTATTATTTATTTGATTAGACACATTCTCTTAAACCTGTAAAGATAATAGAAAGAACTAGTTTAACGCTGAAACAATTCATTACTTATAAATAAATTAGTACAGCTTTATTTAGAACGGATTGAGTGATTTTTCAATGGAATGTTATCTTTCTACTTATTGTGCTTGCATAAGTATTACTTTTTCTTTTATAATTGGTACAGTTTTTCAAATGGTAACCAGAATTTTTGGCATAAAGCTGTCATTGATACAAAGGTATTGTTTTTAGAATTCTTATTTGTAAATAAAAGAATTTCTTTCGATCGGCCATGTAAGCTCTGAAACGAAAGAGAAACACGTTGACTTTTATAATTGTATACTAACGATCATTGACTACATAAAACTACCTGACAAGTTTGGGAGCTTTGATGTGAATGGTTTCCTTTTGTAATATTTCGTCCAGTCATACGCTGTCAATGTTGTTGACATCGAAATTTAGGTCTTATTGTTAGCTGAATGAAAAGCCTCTAATGCCTTAAATAATATCGTAGAATTTGCTTCGGGAAATTCGCCTAATATATATGACCTTCGAAGTATATTATCTTGAAGTAGTTTTATCATAAAATATATTTCATCTTGTATTAATACGTCGCTTTAAAATTATCTTCTGGACCTTTTGGGAACAAGAATGACTGACTGATATTCCTGAGGAGTTTTGCTTCATTTTTTCCTTGGTGATGTGTGCTTCCATTCATCTGCACCGTTTCTCATATAGTTCTACTTCCGTAAAGTCTTATTACAATTGATAGACTTAAGCGTTACTTTCAAATCTTTTACTAAACACAGAAAACCGGGATATGTTAGTGTAACCGACTACACATTCGTTATTATCTCACATGATAAGGACTAAATGGGAAATCTTGATGGTGAACTGCTAATAAACGTATACACTTTACACGAGTTGTATAAAATTAGGCTTTTGTATGTCCAGCTAAGAAAACTACTTGCAACAGATGGGAAAATTCTTTTTAATAACTATTTGAGGAAATTACCACATACGATAATGTTGCAAGATAAATGAACGTTAACTGCTATTACGAAAATAAAGCATTTCTCATTAATTTTGTATCAAAATAAGGATGGTAAGATTGTTATTTGGATTGATGTCAGGATTGATTATAATGAAATCACACTTCCTACAACATAGCATAAAAATTTACATTTACCCGATTGTGATGAGGTTTCATATGGAATGTCATAGAGTTTCATGTATTCTTTTAATGATATTATCCCTTCGTAACAAGATATGTCCGCAAAATACCCAACTGCAACTAAATATAAAATTCACTCGTTATAATCTCTTTAAAGCTGTAAGTAACCACAAATATTTAAGAGATGGAGAATCGAAAACTCGCTTAATTTCGTAACAAGAAATTATGGTATCATGAGTCAAGTACATAATATTGATTTGGTCGGTAAAGTGGTCCTTATAATCGAACTGATGCAGTTTTATATGTCGTATAAACATCAATTAAAATTAACCAGAAGAAAATAACTGAACATACTGATAGTGTTTCCTAGAAAGGAAGGAAATCATTTTCCAGCTGCGGTACACTCACGAACTTTATACTTCCACCGCTCCTAAAATCTGTGAATGACGACCTCTTTTCATGTGCAAATTGCTTTTCAATAAATGTCTTCAACCGATCCAATACTAAACTAACTCAATTATATTAGGCGCTTGTTGCAACATTATGCACAGCGTTTAGAAGTTTAAATTAGTTTATTTGGTTGCGTCAATTTGGCTTCTTACAATACGTTTGTTTATTCGTAATGAATGAATGGCTCTTAATATGTTCATTTTACGTCTTTAAGGGGGAAAATGTGACCATGTACAATTAGATGCCTTTCCTTTTATCCCACAGCACTCTCGAAGCTTTGGCGAAACTAGCTTTGATCTGATTCACCAAAGATTGTTTCCGCAGTATAATCCATAGGATATGAGATGCGTATTGTAAAATCGAATTAACTGCAAGTACAATTGAGTAAGAACTTTACTTGATTATTAATCGAATCGCATAGCAATATGTATATATGTACACACTTTTGGAGTAATTTTCATGCTCCAGTGATGAACAAACTACTTACCTTGTTGTGGAATCAGCTCTGGGCGTACTTGACGAATATTATTCAATGTTCCAGTTAACTTCCGCTAAAAATGTAAAAACTACGTACTTTAATTTCTTAGGAGTCGCAAATGTCATTAACAACGATACCATTCATACTACTCATATAACCAAGAGTTTAGTGTTTGATTTAGTTTAACCGACAAATTTTAAAATATAACTTACTTTTCTTGCGACTACGTACGTTTACTTTAAACGTAACTAAAAATACAGTCCTATCACACTTCTAGGTTTACGCCAATTAATTTTTGTCTGGTTTATATTTGTGGTACTTCATATAGAGATATCCTATTTTTTTATAAAGGCTTATCTACGTCTAACTATCTTTACTTAGGTCTCTGAAACCAACACAAAACTTTCCTGCATAGTTAAGCCTAAGTATTTTAAAATACCAATGTGGTGTTGTGTCTTTAAGGACCCTTGAGTTCAGGTGGAACTATGGCTTAGTGATTGAACCACTGAGCTCCCAACCAGTAAGTGGTAGGCTAGAGCCCAAACCCACTTAATTCATTTTAGGTAGTTGAATAGCAACAGCGCACACAAACAGTATAGCACATATTCGAGTACACAAGCGTGTACTTGGCAGATAGGCCACAACGGACCAGCTTCTTATTTTTCAGTAATCCGAGTGCCTTAGTCTAACAGATATTATAATGAAGTTTTATCATCTTGACAGTAAGTAAAAATCAATAGCATTTCATTCATATAAAGTTACGACGCTAGGTAAAGTTAGTCATTTAGCATCATCCTGTAGCAAACATATATGGTTTCACAACTCATCCATACTACGTAGATATTTTATTTCGTAAACCCAACAAAAGATCAAGACAGAGAAATTAATGAATTTGCCACTGTAAAAATACTAATAGTTCCGTTTTATACATTTTGTGTGGACTCAATATAATCTTCATGCCGTTAATTGCCTTACGTTGAAAAAATCTGGTTCATTATCACATTTAATCGAAATCAAAATATATGAACTGCTACCCCATCATCTATTCAACCCTCACGGTTAATTACGAAGTTTGGAGAGAAAGGTACTGGGTTCGAGTCTTGGAGTGAACATCAACTCGGATGCAGGTAGATCCAGCTGACGAGTTCTAAATGAGACGACAACAATAAGAGACTTATCAATTGCAGTTCTAAACATCAGTGGGAACATCCGAACAACCAATAAACAAATGAACTACTACTTTTAATATACTTACATTGGTATACACCTTGAAATGACCGACAACCTGACTCTTAGTTTTCTCTATTAAACTTACTTTAAAAGTTTCGGGAACGTATTCGTCTTGATCCTGTGATAAAAAAGGAATAGAAGTCTTTTTGAAAAATGCTTTCAACAGTTGAAAAATAGCATACTGATAAATGCGACAATGTCATTGCCGAACTTTGTTTAAAAAAACGTTGGAAGTAATCGTTTATGACATATTTTCTAACTACTAAAAACACATTAATTAGTTTTCACGAAATTAAATAACAATGCAAGGTTTGTTTCTGTTATGGAGAGTGATATGTTAATCCAATAGGCCTTCATTTGATAGGTAAATAATTGACCTACGAAATCCGAGTTTCATAATCAATTATGCTCTTAATAAATTTTGATGATGTTTGCGTTGTAGAAAAGATTACTCAAGTGTGTAACTTTGTCACGTAACACGGCTAGTGCTTTGATGACTGTTATTGTCTTACGAAGCTTGGTCGTTGAGATATTCCATCTGTAATTATGGTTTTGTGAGGGACCATTTCTAGGCCGTATTAATGTTATGAAGTTGAGGGATCAGACAGTGCAACTCAAGTAAATTATCTTTCATTATAACAGTTTAATAAAATGAGTGACCATAATGTTAAATCAATTAAAATTCCGAAATTTTCGCAAATTCTACTTTATTTCTGCATGCACTTCTTAACTATGTATTGTTTTTAGACTTTCCATAAAATTGATAAGTGCATGGGTTTTTGGTCTTTGAACCGCATAGTAGTTGCGACACAAGACTTAAACAATTTATGTTTAGAACCTGCGTGAAAGAAAACAAAAATTAATTACAACTCAAAAGTATTTTGAATATAACATGTAAAACCTCACTTTTTATCTAAACAGATACCAAGTTTACTTTAAGTTGGTTGTCATCTCTTTACCCTAGTACGTTTACCGAAAGTTTAAATGTAATGGAAATCCATGGGTTTCATGGACATATATTCGATAGGGACTTCTCTAAGTAATGGAAACCATCGGGATTTCGTTCGTTAAACTGTATAGTTTGATTCAATTGTACCTCAGGATCCGAAAAACGTTTTGGTGTTTGGTTATTGATCATTATTTTTTAGTGTATCACTGTTCTAAGTTCCTTTCAGCACTTGTACGTGGTCGAAAGCTATATTTGTAGTTTTACATCTATGTGTTAATTTGTTGTCTTATGTACAATTAAATCAAAATCTACTTTCCACATAATCACAATAAATAATCCAGTAAGTCCAAAAAAAGCTATTTATCAGTACTTTCATATCTGCTGTTGTCATTCAGCTGGCTAATGTCGTCAAACCCTTTCTATTGTTTAAGAGCATAGGAGGCAGGTTGAAACAAGACTGTGTATCACTCAGTTCTCTTTGTTTAATTTACTTTATGATCACTACATCCTCACTTCTCCAAATATATGGGATCGTTCAGATTTTACTAACTCTATATAGAAACATCTCAATACAAAGTATCAATGGTGAGATTATAGTATTATATCATATGTTACTCCACCCAGGGGATTGGATGAAAAATTCGAGTTACATTTTCGAATTTAATCTATGATTACTTCAATTAGCCTTTTGATGACAGGTGGGAAACAAAAACAATGACGTTTTCAAGAGTTAGGAATGCTGATTCATTATCGAGTAAGAGACTGATTGGTGTACTTTTCTTATTGTTGGGACCCACATACATCGATCTACCGGGTTCTTAGTAGGTCAATAATGGCGTCTTAGATTCGATAACCAGCCACTAACTTTAATATGCTGTTACAAAAATTACCCAATTAGGGATGTGTGTTCCATTTCGATTAAATATTGACACAAACTGTATTAACTCTACTTTAGGTGGACTGTGCACATTGTATGCAGGTAAACTCACTACTCGTATGCAGGTATCTTTTGAGATTTAAAATACCATAGGTGGGAATGCTCGCTCTGAGTTTGTTTAAAACGTCAAGTATTTACTTTTGTTGGAAGTGGTTTCTTCGTTAAGCTGCATCGTACAATTTCTTAAGAACATATTTTAACTGTCTACCTTTGTTTTTTTAAGTGTTCAAACTCTGTTCTTTAAAATTTCCTATATTAGAAGCACATCGAATGTTATAGAATTTCAATGATAAAAGAAGCTCATACTCAATTGGCATTTATTCGTTTATAAATTAAATAAGTGGAAAATAAACTGAGTTGCTGATTTTTAGCGGAACTGAATTTTTAAGCTGTTAGTAACATCTTCGTAAGACTTCCTGATAACAATATAATCAGTATCTTAACTTTGATCATGTTAAATCTTACTAAGAGTATGAAGTTGAAGTAGCAAAAATTCACAAAAAGTTAGGGGACCTGTCCAAGAAACAATCTACTGCTTTAGAATTACGATTATCAGGATTTAGTGGGAAAGAAGGTAGTTAGCTTGGTTTTTATGTAGTCATAAATATGAGGGAACATATCACACTGGCCAACCATAATTAATATTCGTTTTCTCAATGTAGCTTACCCGCATGGACTCTTCTGCCAGATGTACGCTTAGTCTAATCACTTGACTTAGTAAGTCAAGTAACTTTTTCTCATCAGATTCATTTGAATCATAGTCTGATATGACTGTCGGTTCCATATCAAAAACCAATAGTTCATATGTGTGGTATATACGGTGGACGATATTATCGATCGCACATAAGACACGATTATGAATCGTAGGAGCCAAGGAGTTTTTTGTGTACATTTCTTGAATGATGGCTTTATCAAACTCACGGAAATGTCGATAGTCTTGAGCATCATAATGACTCTTATTTATCTGTTCAGAGTGACGATTCATGTAAGATTCTGTGATTTCTTCAGATTTAGCAATTACTCGAAAAACTTCCATCAAACTTCTAAAACTTGACTGGCTAACTCAGTGGGGACATTAGCGGAAATACCTCAATAATGTGTATCACGTGATAGGGATAAACCATCAAGAGACCTGTAATATGGTCCGGTGGGGTGAAACTGGATGTAAGCTTTTCATAAAATTCTATCGAACTGTGTCAAGTCTTAATGTGAGTACCCACTTCCAACTTCATTGTTAGTTATGTGTGGTGAAATTTTTCCAACTAATACAACAGAGTACAGTACATTTGCCTAAATTAGTATGAGGATTCGATCATTAATTTCTTACTCGTCCGACAAACTCTTTCTGCTCGAGTGCTTGATAAAGAGAAACTAAATGAGACGAACCACCGTTGTTGCCCGTTCCCGACATAATTTATATGTGCGCACATTTTAGTAGCCATAGGTAAATGGGCTAAAACACGTCCGACAAAATCCAAAGCACGTCTAGTGTCCAAAAGAGTCAAATCACAAATATAAGTATAGACTATTCCTTCCATAACCTATCAGCGTTTATCGTATTTAACTTCTTTTAAATTTCCTTAAGAGATATCAATAATAAAGTGGTCAGATTCAGTAATTTCAAGGAACGCTTTCTACTGAAAGGAATGGTTATTCAGTAGGCTAAGTTGAAATCGGTCAAACAGTAATCTTATATGATTTGGTCTTTCCTCTGGAAATGAAACATGCTACGGGTGAAAAGGGCGTACCCTAAACTTTTGGGGTCAATTACGTATGTGAATGAGTGCACAGGCATTTCGCGATTCCGTTATCCAATAAAAAGCTTCTGTCTTCAGGGCCTGTGAGGTGCAATTGACCTCCAGAGAAATCCACCACCAAGTTGAGTCTTTTCCAAGTCACACGACATATCACTAAATGTAACACCCACAAAGCGAACCAACTTTCATATTGGACATTAAAGTCATGGTAAAATTATCATTATAGTGTATGAAAATTTATCCCCTGTCTAGATTGTCCATGTGTGCTTTAACGTATCAAAATAATTGAGTGACTTATTAAATTAAAGTATGTAGCACACGTAACAACCTGATCTTGCATGTAAACTGACATGCCTCATGTAACATATTGTGATCTGAAAATATATTAATATTACAAGTTAAGGCTTGCCTCGTGATTCAGTTTGATGATTTCTTGAATGTGTGTTCTATTCAGTTCCAGCATCTTTTCCTGATTTCCTCTTCATCTGAAACTGATTCGTCCTCTCCCACAGTAGGCTGTTGCTGCTGGTATCCGGCCAACAGATATTGAGTATCTTGCGTATACAATTGTTTATAAATACTTGTAACTTCTTGATGATGGTTGTGGTAGTTCTCCAAGTTTCAGCTCCGTACAGTAAAACTCTCTTGACGTTCGTGTTGAAGATTCTGACTTTGATGTTGGTTGGCAATTGTTTTGAGTTCTATATGTTCTTCAATTGTAGGAGTGCGGTCCTTACTTTGCCAATCCTCGCATTTACGTCTGCGTTGGATCCTCCTTGTTCATCAATGATACTTCCCAGGTACGTGAAAGATTCTATATCTTTCAGAGCTTCTCCATCAAGTGTGGTTGGGTTGGTGTTCTCTGTGTTGTATTTGAGGATCTTGCTGTTTCCCTTGTGTATGTTGAGGCATACTGCTTCAGAGGCTGTTGCTACACTAGTTGTCTTCATCTGCACTGGTTCGTGTGTATGGGATAGAAGGGCCAGGCTATTTGCGAAGTCCAAATTTTCTAATTGATCATGAGCTGTTTATTGTATTCCGAGCTCTCCCTCAGATGTGGTGGTCTTCATAATCCAGTCGACCACCAGAAGATAGAGGAAGGGAGAGAGTAAGTAGTGTTGTCTGACACCGATCTTTATTTAGAATGCATCTGTCAGCTGTCCTTCATACACCACTTTGCAGTGTAGTCCGTCGTATGAATTCCATGTGGTGTTGACGATTTTCTCAGGTACACCATAGCGTCAACTCCGCCTGGAGTCCCTCCGGTGGCTACTGCCGGTCCCAAGCCCGGATAAAGGAGGAGGGTTGGGCATGGGTTTAGCGTCCCCAGCCCGTAGAAAACTAACTCGCTAAAAAAACGCTAACCAGAAAAAATTATTCAAACCTTTTAAACTCTGCCCTGGGAGTCAGAAGATCTTCATTTAGAAGAATTATGACGCCTCATGATGAAAGCCGAATCCTTTCGGAAGTTACGAGGCCGATGCCCCTTGTGACAACCAGAGCGACCATTTATTTAGGTACATGGAATGTTCGTACAATGTGGGACACCGGAAGAGCCTTTCAAATTGCTGCAGAAATGAGAAGATACAACCTAGAGGTACTTGGGATCAGTGAAACACATTGGACACAAGTTGGACAACAACGACTAACTACAGGAGAGCTCCTGTTATACTCCGGCCATGAAGAAGAAAATGCACCACATACACAAGGATTTGCATTGATGCTGTCCAAACAAGCGCAAAAAGCACTTATAGGATGGGAATCTCATGGATCAAGGATCATCAAAGCCTCCTTCAAAACAAAGAAAGAGGGTATTTCAATGAACATCATCCAATGCTATGCGCCTATCAACGACTACAATGAAGACGCTAAAGATCAATTCTACGACAGGCTGCAGTCAATCGTCGAGAAGTGCCCAACAAAGGACCTGACCATTCTGATGGGAGATTTTAATGCCAAGGTTGGAATGGACAACACCGGATATGAAGACATCTTGAGACGACACGGACTGGGAGAAAGGAACGGAAATAGTGAGATATTTGCGAACCTATGTGCCTTCAATAAACTGGTCATAGGCGGCACTATATTCTCACATAAACGCATTCACAAAACCACATGGACTTCACCGGATCACACTACACAGAACCAAATCGACCATATTTGCATCAACAAAAAGTTCAGGAGAATGATGGAGGACGTGAGGATCAAGAGAGGAGCTGATATAGCATCAGACCATCACTTACTGGTCGACAAGATGAAATTGAAACTCAAGAAGCACTGGACAATGGGGCGGACAATATCACAAATGTTCAACACGGCCTTTCTTCAGGATATTGACAAACTCAACAAATTCAAGATAGTCCTCAGCAATAGGTTCCAGGCCTTTCATGATCTACTCAATGGAGAAGGGACTACTATGGAGAGAAACTGGAAGGGGATCAAGGAGGCAATCACTTCAACATGCCATGAGGTCCTGAGCCACAAGAAGCACCACCACAAGGAATGGATCACTGTTGATACACTGGATAAGGTTCAAGAAAGGAGGAACAAGAAGGCAGCAATCAATACCAGACGAACAAAAGCAGAGAAAGCCAAGGCACAAGCTGAATACACAGAAGTAAACAAACAAGTGAAAAGGAGCATCAGAACCGACAAACGTAAATATGTGGAAGATTTAGCAACGACGGCGGAAAAGGCTGCAAGAGAAGGAAACATGAGACAATTGTATGACACGACAAAGAAACTCTCTGGAAATCGCCGCAAACCAGAACGAACAGTGAAAAAGCAAGGAAGGCAAGGTAATCACCAACATTGATGAGCAACAAAACAGGTGGGTAGAACACTTCAAAGAACTGTTGAATCGACCAGCTCCACTGAACCCACCCAACATCGAAGCAGCACCCACGGACCTCCCAATCGTTGTTGACCCACCAACAATTGAAGAAATCAGCATGGCCATCAGACAAATCAAGAGTGGCAAAGCAGCAGGACCGGACAACATCCCAGCAGAGGCACTAAAAGCAGACGTAGCGGCAACTGCAAGGATACTCCACATTCTCTTCAATAAGATTTGGGATGAGGAACAAGTACCAACAGACTGGAAAGAAGGACTTCTGATCAAAATACCGAAGAAAGGCGATCTCAGCAAGTGTGATAACTACAGGGGCATCACTCTTCTCTCAATACCGGGAAAAGTCTTCAACAGGGTATTGTTAAACAGGATGAAGGACTGCGTAGACGCCCAACTTCGTGATCAACAGGCAGGATTCCGTAAGGATAGATCGTGTACAGATCAAATCGCAACTCTACGGATCATTGTGGAACAATCAATTGAATGGAATTCATCACTCTACATCAACTTCATTGACTACGAAAAGGCATTTGATAGCGTGGACAGAACAACACTATGGAAACTTCTTCGACACTACGACGTGCCTCAGAAGATAGTCAATATCATACAGAACTCATATGATGGATTACACTGCAAAATCGTGCATGGAGGACAGTTGACAAAGTCGTTCGAAGTAAAGACCGGTGTCAGGCAAGGTTGCTTACTCTCACCCTTTCTCTTTCTCCTGGTGATCGACTGGATCATGAAGACGTCAACGTCTGAAGGGAAGCGCGGGATACAATGGACATCTCAGATGCAGTTGGATGATCTAGACTTCGCAGACGATCTGCCGCTTTTATCTCGAACGCAACAACAGATGCAGGAGAAGACAAACAGTGTGGCAGCAGCCTCAGCAGCAATAGGTCTCAATATACACAAAGGGAAAAGCAGGATTCTCCAATACAACACAGAATGCACCAATCCAATCACAATTGACGGAGAAGATTTGGAAGATGTAAAAACCTTTACGTATTTGGGCAGCATCATTGATGAACAAGGTGGATCTGATGCAGATGTGAAGGCGTGGACGTGTAAAGCAAGAGCAGCATATTTACAACTGAGGAACATCTGGAACTCAAAGCAACTGTCAACCAACACCAAGGTCAGGATTTTCAATACAAATGTCAAGACAGTTCTACTGTATGGGGCGGAAACCTAGAGAACTAGGAAAGCCATCATCCAGAAAATACAAGTGTTCATTAACAGTTGTCTGCGCAAAATACTTCAGATCCATTGGCCGGACACTATTAGCAATAACGTACTGTGGGAGAGAACAAACCAGATCCCAGCGGAGGAAGAAATCACAAAGAAGCGCTGGAAGTGTATAGGACACACATTGAGGTAAGCACCCGACTGCGTCACAAGACAAGCCCTCACATGGAATCCTCAAGTCCAAAGAAAAAGTGGGAGACCAAAGAACACATTACGCCGAGAAATGGAGATAGACATGAGAAAAATGAACAAGAATTGGATGGAACTAGAAAAGAAGGCCCCGGACAGAGTGGGTTGGAGAATGCTGGTCGGCGGCCTATGCTCCATTGGGAGTAACAAGCGTAAGTAAGTAAGTACACCATAGCGTCGAAGAAGGTTCTATAAGGTTCTCCTATCCACTCTGCCAAATACCTTTTCATAGTCAAGGAAGTTAATTTATAGTAACGACTTTCATTCCATTGATTGATCAACAATGACCTGTAGTGTCACGATTTGGTGTGCTCATGATCGATCTTTACGGAATCCGGGCTGTTGATCTCGAAGCTGAGTGTT